TACCAAATTCTAAGTACTACACAGATTGTGGTTCTCAATTTGCACGTAGCCCTTCAGTTGAAAGAAGCTTTTTAACCGCCTTCGCCAGCTGTGTGTTGACTGGACTTTGGCGTTGACCGTGGAGCAGCTTATTTACTATTGAAATTTGAACAAATATTCAAATGATTATAACTTTCTTCAAATATGACGAATTTTCAATCTGAAAGCAGATTTGGAAGTTTTGTGAAGAGCTTTTTAATCAGTATTGAAATTACAAAAAGTTATAAGAAATAACAAATTTAGATCAATTAACGAGGAAAATTCGAGATGAGCACGAGTTTTTACACTTTCCGAAGCAACAACTTGCTTCATTTTCGTCAAATTCGAAAAAGTTAATATGGCATACAAAACTAGAAGATTTTCTCTACCAAACGTTGCTAAAGCAGCTCTATACGTCCAGTATTCAAAAAATGGCCACGTTGAGGATTTTTGCAAAATTAACGAGGAAAATTTGTGATGAGTGCGAGTTTTTTTACTTCCTAAAGCCATAACTCCGTTCAAACTCATCCAATCCGAAAAGTAAATACGCCATCATAAACTAGAAGATTTGCTCTATCAAATGCTTACTAGAACTGCTCCAAACGTCCAGTATTAAAAAAACGGCTACGTTGAGGATTTTGCACGAGTACCGCCGAAAGGTACTTTTTCGCTACATTGGCACTATTTCAACGGCTGTATATCCTTTTAAGGGCGATTATGTACTAAAGTAAGAGCAGATTTGGAATCACTGCTTTTCTCTTTCTAAGAAAAGTGATTGATTAGCGTTTCTCAACTTTAAAGGTTACATGTTTATAAATTTAACCCTGAAGAGTCCGTTAACGCAATGTTGAATGGTGTACACCTCCCTGTAAATGCGCACGGACACTTTCAGAATTCTCTCGATTGTTCCTGAATTGAGGTTGTTTGTCCAAGGAGCCGTAGTTGAAGCGCGCGCAACAACTAGACCCTTTCTCGGATGCGCCGTGTACCTCACATCCCTTCAGATTCGGGGTCTTACTTGAAAGATGAAATATCTCTTGGAAAGCGTGCGAAATTCAGATTCTTTAACTTGTGTGGTGATAAAACACTGAAGTAACTAAGAATTACCGGACGCCTCAGAATCACGAAAATTTTGTGTGGGTGAAATATCATTTTCATTGGAAATCCTCTGGCCTGGCATCGACTCATCCTTGATATTTGTCTTCCGACGGTGATGATCCCACTGCATCAAAATGGCTCGATCTCTTCCACCCAGCGGGCCAATACGACCCCCCCCCCTGCGACGTGTCGAGGATTCCTCAACGCACGCTTGACCCTGGTGAACCCTCCCATCAAACAAAAGCTCGTGCCAGCATAGACTGACACCAAATGGCAGCGAATCAGAAAAGCTTTGTCGTTCGCCATTGGCGCTGCAGCTCTTCCTTGGGAGGCATCAGCGCCGAGGTGTCTGCGTCTCACACGTTCTTCGTGCTCCCTCGCCTGGGCACTTCCACTTACTGTATCCTCCCGTAATAGCTGAAAAAGTTCAAAAAATTTTTTTTTTTGTTCTATTTCCTTTCCTCTCTTTTCTTCATTCCCAATCGCCTTCAAACTTCTGCTTTCATTTTTTTTGCTAAATAAACAAATTTTGAAGTTGTAGACTGTGAACTCAACATCCTTTCTCTCTTGGTAGGCTGTGAGTTTAAAATCTTTTCCTCTTTATTACGAGAGTTCTCCATTATAGAAATTTTTTCCGGCACAGCTCTCAGCATCCCCTGGCGATGCAGGAGTACCGTCAATCTGATATTATTTTCTCCTGCAGGGCTCTGGGTGATCGGAAAATTTTTTCTCTTCTGTAAAACAAGTTCTAAGGCTCTAGAAACATCATAGCTTGTGTTCTTCTCTCATATTTTTGTATCCATGGCGATTTGGTTATAGCCAATTTAGGGTGAATTGGAAGTTACCCGAGTATTTTCACATGTGCTGCGTAAAAAGGGTATAAAAGAATGAAAACTTTCGAGGGATATGAATTCCAACCGAATAAACGAAGTGAGTGGTTTCTGAGTACAAGCTCTTGCCTATCATTGCATTATGGAGAAAGATGATGTAGCGACAAGCGGCGCCACATCCCGCGCGCACACTCCATAGGTCAAACCTCGGATCAAATCTCGCCCAAGCCTAAGCCTTCCATTCCTTCGTTTTGGATCGATTGATGCCAGACTTGTCTGAATTTTTAAAAACAGTGACCTGTGCAACCGCCGGTTTTCGCAAGCCCACGCCGTATCCAAACGTCACTCAGATCTTGAGTGAAACTGAGTGCGTGGCGCATCCCAAAAGATGAATCATCATCATTTTCCCATTATACTGTAACTTCTGTATATGATTCGAAGGCGTGCTGATTTTGAAGAACAATCGCACTCATGTATTACTTATGCAGGTCCTTCAACTCATCCGAGCTACTGGACTGCTTCAGAAAAAGAATGAGGGAGGAGATTCTCGATTACAAGGTGTTTATTTATCTAAGAAGTAAATACGTGCCTAGTAGGAACAGACACGTTCTAACAATCGCTCATAAAATAGAGTCTACATTTCAGAGGTTAAATTGGGACGATTACCAGGAATTTGTTCCTGTTGTCGATGGAGCCGGTGGGGTGATCCCTGATGTGCCCGAAGACTTAGCTAAGCATAGGAAAAAGATACCAATGATGATTGGAACCACACGTGATGAAAGTTCTTTACGAATATGTGAGCTTTTCATTGAAATATTGCTTGCTCTCCAAGTAACATTAGGACCAATTTTAACACAAAGCATTTCAGTGATACTTGAACGAGAAGCAGGTCAACTTCAGCGCTTTGAATAGCCCATTAGCTGAGAAACTGGCGGACAACCTCACACTCGGCTACAAACAATTTCAAAATCATCGTCTCATTGCCGAAGGTTGCAAAGCTCAGTATGTTTGGACGAAGGTGGATCCATCCATGTCAGACAGCATTTTATTTGACTCAGTTCTAAAAGTAAGTGGCATTTAAAGAAGTGGCATTTGTTTAAAGTAACTCCACTTATCTCAGCTCATATGTAGCAGAATCAGAAATTATTATTCTCGCAGCAGCTTTCGAGTTCATGCGGATAATTTTGTGAGCTAACGGTTTGGCCCAATACCTTCTTCAAGTTTTTTTTTTTTCAAGCAAGCGGCAGCATCTAGAAGCAACTCCGTATATTCAAAAATCACGTCGGATTGCTAGCCTAGCTAAGTAAGTCTCAGTATGTCGCGCGAAAGGATTCCTACCCAGGAACGTGAACATCGCTGAGATTCCTCAACAGACTTGTCGAGATTTTCGCCTGATCAAGTTACGCTTCTTCTCACCGCACCACATTCCCACTCATGGCGAGCCATCCGAATCATTTCTCTCGCCGTACTTCACATCTCCGACACTCTCGCACAGTACAGAGCGAGGTCGAGGTATCAACGACCATTATTCACCCTTAGATCTTACCTTAGAGCTCGGCTCTCACAAGGGGGGGGGCGGGCCTTCACAGAAGGCTGGTTAGTTGAATGCTGGCTGAATAAACTTAAATCTCTCAAAGGACTACTACTAGATTCAGGTTTTCAGCAATGACGTAAGTACATAGCTCTGTTCTTTTTTTTTCGGGCATAACCCACCCCCCCCATCAACTGAACTGAGATGGGCGGATCCTTTTGGGGAGTTATGTTCTAGTCACTAATCAGCAACATGCGAACTTTCGGTCGTTAAAGTGCTACCCCTCGCTTCCTTGAATCTAAGTGACTGAGTCGTGTGGGGCATATGCTTGCTCGGTGCGCTCACTCTATATCGAAATCCTTGCCTTTAAGAACCATAGTGGCTATAGAGGGTAGCACCAAACCTGATATAAAGTAACTTTATATAGAAATGCCAATCCGCCGAGTTGACTCTGTTCAAACAATCAATCTTTCTGTACGTGCTGATGGTTTCAGATATACTCCACTTCTGTTATGAGTGCACCTGCTTCCACGACAGCCTACGTAACATATAACAAAACTGCGACCAGTCTTTCTTTTCCTTTATCCATAATCAACAAAACTTCATATGAACTCGACCGTAGTTCAACTTAACATTCTTGGCCCGGCCGAACTGTTTGAAAGAAGAATATTTTAGGAGCCTTTCACCGTTGCTACAATGCATTTATTAACATACTCACGTTTTCGATTATAGGCGTTCGGATTTAGGAAACTGCAGCTTGATCAAAGGTTGTGAAATTATTTGACTGACGCATTGTGAATTTCCACGTGCACGCGTGGGGTCCATTAATTCTTCGCGCGTTTCATATATTTCGTGGAATATTCGTGCTTTCCTTTTTCTTAGTATTTTGCACTTCTTTTCTTCATTCGCATTAGTCTTTGCATGGTTTTGTTTCGCGACGTATCGAAAACGATGAATGCCATCCACCCTCTGCGTCTCTGCCGTCGAGGATGAATCCCCAAAATCTAGGCTAGGGGGATTCGTCTCTCCATAGCAGAACCAGCCAGGGCGATCAACATGACTTTTCAGAAGTCGTGCGCTTAGGCCACAAAAATGATGGGCTATTTTCACGTTCTGGGGGGGCGACCAATGAAATCAAGCTATTGCGACTGAACTTTCTCGCTAGCACGGGGCAACTCCACATCTGCCCCTACTGCGCATCGCTTATAAGGTTCAATTAATTTGTCTGCTTGATTTGGCGCACACTGTGACGCTGAAGCATATTAATGACGGATTTTATGATTGAATGACCGCTCCATGGCAATGAGAGAGGAGGTGGTCATGCTGCGGTTGTGAAGAAAAAAACCAAACAACGGCCTAGAACCCGAGACTTAAGGCCCTTGACTTCCTCTGTGGACAACCCAGCGACCAAGGCAAGCCCGTTTGCAAGTGTTAATCCCGACAGCCAGTATCATGCCAGCAAACATCCCTGTTTGTCACACCTTCCTTTCAACACGTATATTTCCTTTTCTTCGATTTCGGACCTTATCGCTTTTAATTTTCAATTACTTCCTATTACTCCAATAAATGGCTTACTCCGCCTATGTGAAATGTATTGTAACGTAATGCGAGCGAAACGGAGGTCGAACTACTTTTTCGCTCCCGCTTAGTATTTTGAGTTCAATGTTTTCAAATCAACTTAACTTGTATTTTCTTGACTATCTTTGTGTCATACCGCCATATACACACTTGATTACTTTCAGGCATCCAACACCCGAGAATTCTGGTTTTCCCTTCAACTGGACGTCTACAAATGCAATGGAATTGAACTACCTGTCAATAACCGATAGCCCTACAATGGAGGTGGGTAAAAAGCTTTTTAATTGAAATTAGTTCACGCATTCCGCTGTGAACTTCCAAACTCCATACCGATCGTCTTCGAGCATTAACGCTTGGACTTTTTGATGAAATTCCTGAAGTGAGGCTGAAACTGGCAGCTCAAGATACGGTCATCATTGTTGACAAGACCACCTCAATGCAAGTGGCCTTCCTAGCCTGAACTTCCTGTAGAAAAAACCGAGATTCTGATTCTCTTAATTAAGGTCGGTTACCGTTGGCAAGGTCATGTATTTTGGAACTGGTATGCTCGTTCGTTAGACGCCGTTGATGTGGGGAATCTACAGCGAATAGCTCAGCTGGACAGAGATGTTGGAAATTGGCAGGTGAGGATTTTTCCAAGATGAACGACATTTCAGAAATCCAAGTTACTTCAGCCAAGTTTTATAAATATAAAACATCGAGATAAATTTGATTCTAAGGACGAGGAGTCCACCATAAAGGAACCGCATTGCATATTTCTAGGTATTAGGTACACAA